CCACTGAGTTACAGGACTCCTGTATAACAGGGTTCGACTGTGAAAACACGGTTGGTGAGTTAGTGACTAGAGGGCACCCATTTGAGATAGTTAGCAGGCAAGCACATGAGGAGGTTGTGAGGAATATTTTTCACACACAGAGAGTGGTTAGGATATGGAATGTGCTGCCAGGAACAGTGGTGGAGGCAAAATCCATATTAACTTTTAAAACAACAAATAACAACAAAATTACATTTATATAGCGACTTTCAAACGTAACCAGATGAGATGCTTAAAAAGCGGTAAAATAGAAGGGTATGTGGGGAAAGGGGAGGTAAACAGGGCTGAAAGGATTGTCATTAAAGGATTATTCACAGAAACCATGGGCTGAGTGGCCTTCTTCTGTGCCCTAAATTTAATAATAATCCTTGCATTTGATATAGCACCTTATCACGTTTTCAAGACATCTCAAAACGCTTCCACAGAATATTCTGTACAGTGAATTATTTTGTGGGCGAAACGCGGCAGCCAATTGCGCACAGCAATGTCCCACAAACAGTCATTATTTCTAAGCATAATAAGTGACACGGAGAAGTAATGGAATCCAAAGCTCATCAGATTAGTTTGGATGAAAAAGGCCCTTCAGCCCATCTGAATCGGCTTTCATTTATTACGATGCTGGGGGAAGATGTTCGAAGGGGCAGAAAGCCCTCTCTGGCTCTTAGGACATGAACCCTCACCTTTCATCAGCGTCTCGATGTCCTCCAGCTCCTGTACTTTGACCCTCAGCCCATGCAGCTCCGTCACCAGTGGAGCCAGCTCCCTCGCCCTCTTCCCAGCCCCCTTCACCTCCTCCTCCGAAGCCTGGGCTGATTGCAGTCGCTGCTGGGAGGCCATGTACTCGCTCTCCAGCCTCTCCAGGTATTGCTGAAGCGAGCCTCGGGCGAAGAGTTCCTCCACTGCATGCGGGTCTGTGCTGAAGGCACGCAGTGAGCAGTTCCACCCCATCGCCGCTCGCTTACTGCAAACAAGTAGACAAGGGCCACGTCTCGCCCTCTGGCAGAAAGTCCTCCTCACGTGCTCCAGGGGTGGCCTCGCAACCCCCTCCCACTGACAGAAGTGACTGCTGGTAACTCTCATCACTGCCGGGATAGTCTGTCTGAGAAACAGCATCTTCTCCTCCACACAAAGCCTTTTCCTGCTCACCGGAATCCCGAGGTTCAAATATCCATGTACGAGATTCTGCGAAGCAAACATAATAATTGAATTATAAAATAAAAGCAAGCATTGAATCGCAGGAAATGGAAGTTCTTTTGCGCATCAGGCAATGGTTCAAGACTATGTTTCCCGCGATTCATTGCAGCTGGCCGGTAAGTGCACATGGTTGTGGAGTCCTGTAGCTCAGTGGTTAGAGCACTCGCTTTGCAAGTGAGAGACCTGAGTTCAATTCCAGTCAGGGCGAAACCTAGGGCAAGTTTCCTTACTCCACACAGAGCCTAATAATAATCCCTCCAAAAAAACAAAATAATAATAAATTGGTCATTTTCAATCTACGACTGTTTGTGGGACATTGCTGTGCGCAATTGGCTGCCGCGTTCGCCCACAAATATACAGTCAATTCACTTTACAGTGTGTTCTGTGAAGCGCTTTGGGACGTCCTCCCGACGTGAAAAGCGCTATATCAAATGCAAGGATTATTATTATTATTTATTATTATAATAATAATAATCCTTGCATTTGATATAGCGCCTCATCACATCGTCGAGACAGCGCAAAGCCCTTCACAGAATATACTGTAAAGTTGATTGACTGTATATTTTGTGGGTAAAACACAGCAGCCAATTGCGCACAGCAGTGTCCCTCCCACAAACAGTCATGGATCCAGTGACCAATTTTTTTTTGGTTTTGGAGGGATTATTATCCCCGGAATGTGATCCGCCAATTGACTAACAACCGGGTTCCTACTTAGGTGAACACAGATGTGTGGCGTAAGGAAACTTGCCTAAGGTTTCGCACTGCCGGGAATCGAACCTGGGTCCTCTTGCTTGCAAGGCGAGCGCTCTAACCACTACACTACACTACAGGACTCCATGTCAAATGCTGCAGAACTTCAGAACTCGGGAGAGTCATAGAACCGTACGATATCCACAGCACTTTGAGACATATCGACAACGTGATAAGGCGCTATATCAAATGCAAGGATTATTATTATTATCATTGTAATAAAAATAACAATCCTTGCATTTGATATAGCGCTTTTCACGTCGGGAGAGGACGTCCCAAAGCGCTTCACAGAACACACTGTAAAGTGAATTGACTGTATATTTGTGGGCGAACGCTGCAGCCAATTGCGCACAGCAATGTCCCACAAACAGTCGTAGATTGAAAATGACCAATTTATTATTGTTTTTTGTTTTGGAGGGATTATTATTAGGCTCTGTGGGGAGTAAGGAAACTTGCCCAAGGTTTCGCCCTCTGCCTGGAATTGAACTCAGGTCTCTCGCTTGCAAAGCGAGTGCTCAAACCACTGAGCTACAGGACTCCACATTATAGCACAGGTGATGAAAAAAAACAATAAACTATTTTAAACATGAAGACACACTTTGAGGACTTAAAAAATTCGGGGTTACGAGACGATGAAACCAATAATATTATACCACAATGTACTGCACTGAAGTATTGGTGTATGTGTTGTGTGGTGTTTGAGACCGTGTGTTTGTACGCAGTTATGTGGATTTCAGTCCATGTGTATCTCTGAGTGTGTGTGTGAGGGTGTACGGAATTCACTGCCGCATTTCACCCACAAATATGCAGTCAATTCGCTTTAAGGTCTATTCTGCGAAGCGCTTTGAGTCGTCTCTGGAAGTCGTGAAAAGCGCTGTATCAAATGCAAGGATTATTATTATTATTATTATTATTATTTATTACGTGCTTATGGTGGACATTTGGAGCCTGGGTACGGGGAGTTCTGTGGCTCAGCGGTTAAAGCACTCGCCTCACCAGCGAAAGACCTGGGTTCGATTCCCGGGCGGGGCAAAATGTTGGGCAAGTCTCCTTACTCCGCGCACACGCCTCTGCTTACCCAGCAGTGAGCAGTGAAGTCAACTCACTTTACGGTATATCCTGCGAAGCGCTCGGAGACGCCTGGAAGCGGTGATCAGGCGCCGTGTCAGGGGGCGGAGTCACACTGGAGGGCTGAGGGGGCGGAGTCGCACTGGAGGGCTGAGGGGGCGGAGTCGCACTGGAGGGCTGAGGGGGCGGAGTCTCACTGGAGGTCTGAGGGGGCGGAGTCACACTGGAGGGCTGAGGGGCGGGGTCACACTGGAGGGCTGAGGGGGCGGAGTCACACTGGAGGGCTGAGGGGGCGGAGTCACACTGGAGGGCTGAGGGGGCGGAGTCACACTGGAGGGCTGAGGGGGCGGAGTCGCACTGGAGGCTGAGGGGGCGGAGTCACACTGGAGGGCTGAGGGGGCGGAGTCACACTGGAGGGCTGAGGGGGCGGAGTCACACGGGAGGCCTGAGGGGGCGGAGTCACACGGGAGGCCTGAGGGGGCGGAGTCACACGGGAGGCCTGAGGGGGCTGTTGGGGGGATGTTGGCGGTGTGAGCCGGTGGCAGAGCTCCCGCTGAAGCCCGCGGTGTGTGTGTGGGGGGGGGGGGGGGGGGGAGGGGGGTGAGGGTCGCGGGTTGTTGTCGCTGAGCTTCAGCGTCACTCACCAACCGCCAGTTCGCCTGGTACCGCGCCTGCGTCACCCCCGCCTCGTTCCGGCGATTACCGCGCATGCGTCGGCTCTGGTTTTCCAGCCCAGCCTACACTGCGCACGCGTCCTGCTCTCCCCGCTTGGCGCATAGGGCGCTTTCTCCGCCGCGCAGCCTTGTGGGTGCGCAGCGCCGCCATTGCCCCTCGTGTCCAGCTGTTGGTATGTGGGTAACATTGGAATCCCACAGGTGTGACTCACCTGTACTTGTACTTATAATAATAATAATCCTCGCATTTGACATAGCGCTTTTCACGTCTTTCTCGACGTCTCAAAGCGCTTCACAGAATATGCTGTAAAGCGAATTGACTGTATATTTGTGGGCGAACGCGGCAGCCAATTGCGCACAGCAATGTCCCACAAACAGTCGTGGATTGAAAATGACCAATTTTTCGCTTGTAAGGCGAGCGCTCTAACCACTGAGCTACAGGACTCCCCGACTAGCATTTATCATAATAATAATAATCAATTGGCTGCCACGTAGTCCTGTAGCTCAGTGGTTAGAGCACTCGCTTTGCAAGTGAGAGACCTGAGTTCAATCCCCGGCAGTGGGAAACCTCAGGCAAGTTTCCTTACTCCACACAGAGCCTAATAATAATTCCTCCAAAACCCAAAAAACAATAAAAAATTGGTCTTTTTCAATCTACGACTGTTTGTGGGACATTGCTGTGCGCAATTGGCTGCCGCGTTCGCCCACAAATATACAGTCAATTCGCTTTACAGCATATTCTGTGAAGCGCTTTGAGACGTCGAGAAGACGTGAAAAGCGCTATGTCAAATGCGAGGATTATTATTATTATAAGTACAAGTACAGGTGAGTCACACCTGTGGGATTCCAATGTTACCCACATACCAACAGCTGGACACGAGGGACAATGGCGGCGCTGCGCACCCACAAGGCTGCGCGGCGGAGAAAGCGCCCTATGCGCCAAGCGGGGAGAGCAGGACGCGTGCGCAGTGTAGGCTGGGCTGGAAAACCAGAGCCGACGCATGCGCGGTAATCGCCGGAACGAGGCGGGGGTGACGCAGGCGCGGTACCAGGCGAACTGGCGGTTGGTGAGTGACGCTGAAGCTCAGCGACAACAACCCGCGACCCTCACCCCCTCCCCCCCCCCCCCCCCCACACACACACCGCGGGCTTCAGCGGGAGCTCTGCCACCGGCTCACACCGCCCAACATCCCCCCAACAGCCCCTCAGGCCTCCCGTGTGACTCCGCCCCCTCAGGCCTCCAGTGTGACTCCGCCCCCTCAGGCCTCCCGTGTGACTCCGCCCCCTCAGCCTCCAGTGTGACTCCGCCCCCTCAGCCCTCCCGTGTGACTCCGCCCCCTCAGGCCTCCCGTGTGACTCCGCCCCCTCAGCCTCCAGTGTGACTCCGCCCCTCAGCCTCCCAGTGTGACTCCGCCCCCTCAGCCTCCAGTGTGACTCCGCCCCCTCAGCCCCCGTGTGACTCCGCCCCCTCAGCCTCCAGTGTGACTCCGCCCCTCAGCCCTCCAGTGCGACTCCGCCCCTCAGCCTCCAGTGCGACTCCGCCCCCTCAGCCCTCCAGTGTGACTCCGCCCCCTGACACGGCGCCTGATCACCGCTTCCAGGCGTCTCCGAGCGCTTCGCAGGATATACCGTAAAGTGAGTTGACTTCACTGCTCACTGCTGGGTAAGCAGAGGCGTGTGCGCGGAGTAAGGAGACTTGCCCAACATTTTGCCCTGCCCGGGAATCGAACCCAGGTCTTTCGCTGGTGAGGCGAGTGCTTTAACCGCTGAGCCACAGAACTCCCCGTACCCAGGCTCCAAATGTCCACCATAAGCACGTAATAAATAATAATAATAATAATAATAATCCTTGCATTTGATACAGCGCTTTTCACGACTTCCAGAGACGACTCAAAGCGCTTCGCAGAATAGACCTTAAAGTGAATTGACTGTATATTTGTGGGTGAAATGCGGCAGTGAATTCCGTACACCCTCACACACACACTCATAGATACACATGGACTGAAATCCACATAACTGCGAACAAACACACGGTCTCAAACACCACACAACACATACACCAATACTTCAGTGCAGTATATTGTGGTATAATATTGTTGGTTTCATCGTCTCGTAACCCCGAATCTTTTTAAGTCCTCAAAGTGTGTCTTCATGTTTAAAATAGTTTATTGTTTTTTTTCATCACCTGTGCTATAATGTGGAGTCCTGTAGCTCAGTGGTTAGAGCACTCGCTTTGCAAGTGAGAGACCTGAGTTCAATTCCAGGCAGAGGGCGAAACCTTGGGCAAGTTTCCTTACTCCCCACAGAGCCTAATAATAATCCCTCCAAAACCAAAAACTATAATAAATTGGTCATTTTCAATCTACGACTGTTTGTGGGACATTGCTGTGCGCAATTGGCTGCCGCGTTCGCCCACAAATATACAGTCAATTCACTTTACAGTGTGTTCTGTGAAGCGCTTTGGGACGTCCTCTCCCGACGTGAAAAGCGCTATATCAAATGCAAGGATTGTTATTTTTATTACAATGATAATAATAATAATCCTTGCATTTGATATAGCGCCTTATCACGTTGTCGATATGTCTCAAAGTGCTGTGGATATCGTACGGTTCTATGACTCTCCCGAGTTCTGAAGTTCTGCAGCATTTAACATGCAGTCCTGTAGTGTAGTGTAGTGGTTAGAGCGCTCGCCTTGCAAGCAAGAGGACCCAGGTTCGATTCCCGGCAGTGCGAAACCTTAGGCAAGTTTCCTTACGCCACACATCTGTGTTCACCTAAGTAGGAACCCGGTTGTTAGTCAATTGGCGGATCACATTCCGGGGATAATAATCCCTCCAAAACCAAAAAAAATTGGTCACTGGATCCATGACTGTTTGTGGGAGGGACACTGCTGTGCGCAATTGGCTGCTGTGTTTTACCCACAAAATATACAGTCAATCAACTTTACAGTATATTCTGTGAAGGGCTTTGCGCTGTCTCGACGATGTGATAAGGCGCTATATCAAATGCAAGGATTATTATTATTATTATGTTTGCTTCGCAGAATCTCGTACATGGATATTTGAACCTCGGGATTCTGGTGAGCAGGAAAAGGCTTTGTGTGGAGGAGAAGATGCTGTTTCTCAGACAGACTATCCCGGCAGTGATGAGAGTTACCAGCAGTCACTTCTGTCAGTGGGAGGGGGTTGCGAGGCCACCCCTGGAGCACGTGAGGAGGACTTTCTGCCAGAGGGCGAGACGTGGCCCTTGTCTACTTGTTTGCAGTAAGCGAGCGGCGATGGGGTGGAACTGCTCACTGCGTGCCTTCAGCACAGACCCGCATGCAGTGGAGGAACTCTTCGCCCGAGGCTCGCTTCAGCAATACCTGGAGAGGCTGGAGAGCGAGTACATGGCCTCCCAGCAGCGACTGCAATCAGCCCAGGCTTCGGAGGAGGAGGTGAAGGGGGCTGGTAAGAGGGCGAGGGAGCTGGCTCCACTGGTGACGGAGCTGCATGGGCTGAGGGTCAAAGTACAGGAGCTGGAGGACATCGAGACGCTGATGAAAGGTGAGGGTTCATGTCCTAAGAGCCAGAGAGGGCTTTCTGCCCCTTCGAACATCTTCCCCCAGCATCGTAATAAATGAAAGCCGATTCAGATGGGCTGAAGGGCCTTTTTCATCCAAACTAATCTGATGAGCTTTGGATTCCATTACTTCTCCGTGTCACTTATTATGCTTAGAAATAATGACTGTTTGTGGGACATTGCTGTGCGCAATTGGCTGCCGCGTTTCGCCCACAAAATAATTCACTGTACAGAATATTCTGTGGAAGCGTTTTGAGATGTCTTGAAAACGTGATAAGGTGCTATATCAAATGCAAGGATTATTATTAAATTTAGGGCACAGAAGAAGGCCACTCAGCCCATGGTTTCTGTGAATAATCCTTTAATGACAATCCTTTCAGCCCTGTTTACCTCCCCTTTCCCCACATACCCTTCTATTTTACCGCTTTTTAAGCATCTCATCTGGTTACGTTTGAAAGTCGCTATATAAATGTAATTTTGTTGTTATTTGTTGTTTTAAAAGTTAATATGGATTTTGCCTCCACCACTGTTCCTGGCAGCACATTCCATATCCTAACCACTCTCTGTGTGTGAAAAATATTCCTCACAACCTCCTCATTTGCTTGCCTGCTAACTACCTCAAATGGGTGCCCTCTAGTCACTAACTCACCAACCGTGTTTTCACAGTCGAACCCTGTTATACAGGAGTCCTGTAACTCAGTGGTTAGAGCACTCGCCTCGCAAGTGAGAGGACGCGGGTTCGATTCCCAGGCGGGGCGAAACCTTAGGCAAGTTCCCTTACTCCACACGCCTCTGTTTACCTAACAGTAAATAGGAATACGTTTGTTAGTTGATTGGCGGATCGCTTTCCAGGGGTAATAACTCCTCTTCCAAACCAATTTGGTCACTCAATCCATGACTATTTGTGGGACACTGCGGTGCGCAATTGGCTGCCGATTTTCACCCACAAAACATACACTTTACAATATATTCTGTGAAACTCTTTGAGACATCTCAATGATGATTATTATTATTATATAATGCTGATGTACACGAATAAGATACAAATGGGGCTAATATCTCATCCCTTTGCTACAGATGAAGATGCAGACCTGAGGAAACTGGCAGAGAGTGACTGGAATTCCTGTCAGGAAGACATCCGAGCTTTGAAGCACAAGGTATTTACTGGCTGCTCTGCATTAATCATCATACTGCATGTCACATTGGTTCCTCTCCTGAGTGGTCATTGATGTGGGAATTTGACTGAGATACAGTGACAGACTTAGCCACTGATGTCACAGATGACAGTATCGACGGACAGTGACAGAGAACTATCGACATACATGGCTGCACAATTTGAAAAATCTGCTCTCCACACTTCCCAGTTCCTCCCCCCACATGCTGCACACCATCCAGAGCTCTGCAGCCCGAATCCTCTCCCGCACTAGGCTCCATGAGCCTATCAACTCCATCCTCGCCCGGCTCCACTGGTTCTCCCTCCCCCAACAGATCAAATTCAAGATCGTCTGCCTTGCTTTCAAATCCCTCCACGGCCTCAGCTCCACCCAAGCTCTGCGACCTTGTGTATCCCTCCCACCCCAGCCCCTCTCTCCATTTAGCTAACACTGGCTTGCTTCATGTACCCCGTTCTATCCGCCCAACCATTGTTAGGTGAGCTTTCAACTAATCTGCCCCCTACTCTCTCCCCCCACATTCCCGAAGGCCCTCTGACACGGCCCCTCACTCTCCACCTTTAAAGACTGCTACAATCTTTCTTTATGCCCGTACTTTTGGTTACCTTTCTTCCCCCACCTCACCTTCTGTAGTCCCAGCACAGGCCGGGCTCCCAGTTGCTCTGTGATGCGCTTTTGAGACGTCCTCCTGATGGTCACAGTGACAGTCAGCTCTAACAACACACAGTGATGGTCACAGTGACAGTCAGCTCTAACAACACACAGTGATGGTCACAGTGACAGTCAGAGCTCTAACAACACACACAGTGATGGTCACAGTGACAGTCAGAGCTCTAACAACACACACAGTGATGGTCACAGTGACAGTCAGAGCTCTAACAACACACACAGTGACGGTCACAGTGACAGTTAGTAGCTCTAACAACACACAGTGATGGTCACAGTGACAGTCAGAGCTCTAACAACACAGTGATGGTCACAGTGACAGTCAGAGCTCTAACAACACAGTGATGGTCACAGTGACAGTCAGAGCTCTAACAACACACAGAGTGATGGTCACAGTGACAGTCAGAGCTCTAACAACACACACCCAGAGTGATGGTCACAGTGACAGTCAGAGCTCTAACAACACACAGTGATGGTCACAGTGACAGTCAGAGCTCTAACAACACACAGTGATGGTCACAGTGACGGTCAGGGCTCTAACACACAGTGATGGTCACAGTGACAGACAGAGCTCTAACAACACACACAGTGATGATCACAGTGACAGTCAGAGCTCTAACACACAGTGATGGTCACAGTGACAGACAGAGCTCTAACAACACACACAGTGATGATCACAGTGACAGTCAGAGCTCTAACAACACACACAGTGATGGTCACAGTGACAGTCAGAGCTCTAACAACACACACCCAGAGTGATGGTCACAGTGACTGTCAGAGCTCTAACAACACACAGTGATGGTCACAGTGACAGTCAGAGCTCTAACAACACACACAGTGATGATCACAGTGACAGTCAGAGCTCTAACACACAGTGATGGTCACAGTGACAGACAGAGCTCTAACAACACACACAGTGATGATCACAGTGACAGTCAGGGCTCTAACAACACACACAGTGATGATCACAGTGACAGTCAGGGCTCTAACAATACACACAGTGATGGTCACAGAGAGAGAGACAGAGCTGTAACAAACCTCCAGAACAACATCAAATTGCATTTATATACAGCAAAACTCACATAAGTCATATCAGTTGGGACAATAACATTTAATATGACTTGTGCGAAGTCCAAGATACAGGCAAATTGTATAAGTCGTATAAGATCTGATTTAATCAATAATCTACACTAAACTGCCAGGCGTAATTCAATGCAGCCGATAAGTGCTCATGGGGTGACAGGTCAAGACTATGTTTCTCGCGATTCAATGCGTCTCGCCCCATCGAAGCGACACGTTTTCCAGCAAGTGTTGGAATCGCAGGAAATGAAGCTCTTCTGCGCGTGCGGCGATGGGTCAGGAAATCATTTCCCGCGATTCATTGCAGGCTGAAAGTGCAGGAGTAATGGAGAGTAGGGGAGCAGCATTGTGAGTTAGGAGATGATTTGTTTATAAAACACGACTAGTGCAAAGAAATCTGATGGTGTTGACAGGAAACTGAATGGGTCTCGGGTGGACGTACGACTTAGGTGATTATACGATTTATAAAGTTCACTATCGAGAGAGATACCCTTCCCCAGTGCTGAAACGCAATCTTTGTTCACCTTCAGATCATCTCCTTGGTGACTCCCTCGGAAGAGACGGATGAAAGTGACCTGATCCTGGAGGTGCTGGCGGGAGTGGGCGGCCAGGAGGCCATGCTCTTCACAGCGGACGTCTTCAACATGTACCGGAGCTACGCAACATACAAGAGCTGGCACTTTGAAACACTGGAATATTTTCCCAGCGAGTTAGGTACATGCACAGCTTCATGTTATCAGTGGAGTTCTGTGGCATATTCGTTAGAGCGCTCGCCTCGCGAGAGAGTGGACCCGGGTTTGATTCCCGGACAGGGCAAAACCTTCTGCAAGTTTCCTTACTCAACACGCCTCTGTTTACCAAGCAGTAAGTAGGAACCCCGTTGTTAATCGATTGACAGATTATGAGAGTAATAATCCCTCCAACTAATAATAATAATAATAATAATTTGGTCGCCCAATCCACGACTGTTTATGGGACGCTGCTGTGCGCAATTGGCCGTCTCGTTTTGCCAACAAAATATTCAGTCAATTCACTTTACAATATATTCTGTGAAGCGCTTTGAGACGTCTCAACGACACGATAAGGCACTATATCAGATGCAAAGATTATTATTATTATCACAAATGTCCCAATACTGGGGTTAAAAACGTGATATTAGTTCTAAATTTGGCATTGTGACATTCAGTTGATGGAGAATCTTCTCCACACACATGGCTCAGCTCCCTTCCGAAACCTTCTAATACGTTTTTTTCCTCCAGTCTAATACCGTTTGTAGCGCTCTTCCCTCCTAGTCAGAAGGTTGTAGACTCAAGACCCACGTTGGGACTTGGAACTCATATAATCTAAGATGACACTCCAGTGTAGTGCTGAGGGGTTTGCTGCATTGTCAGAGATGCTGTCCTTCGGATGAGAACATAAACCAAGGTCCTGTCTGCCTATCCAGGTGGATGTTAAAAATTGTATGGCACTGTTGGAAAAGTTTCCTGCGGTGTCCTGAACAACAATCCCCACAAATAAAATTGGTCACTCGCTCTGTGCCTGTTCATGGGGCAATATGTGTGCAATATCTTGCTGTCATTGCTGTTCCCCCTCAGCACTACACTGGAGTGTCAGCCTGAACTGTGACTTCAAAGACCCCTCGATGGTGGACTTGAACCAAACAACCTTTTATGGAGTGAGATCTATCCACGCTCTCTTTTTTTACCTTCCCATGTATATTCTTTAGTTTTGGTCAGCCGGGTGTCTGACACATCCGAAAACCCATCACCGTGCTTAAGAGTACCAAAACCAAGCTGAAAATTCCAGGCATCCCACCTACACACGGAAATCCCAGAGAGAGATTGTTGGAATGGAATGTGCTCTCTCTCCCTGGAGGGGGAGAATATTAGGTGCAAGTTGACAAGAGACAGACATTGAAGATCCCAGAGTGTGCGTTGGGGTAACTGCTGGTGTTTGACCAACTAAAACTGCATAGTTTGCCATTGCTAGCACTGTCTGGTAAGCTTTCCTGCTGCTTGTCCAGCTAGGACCAGCCTACCTGTTAGGGCTTTGACTTGAAGGGTTAACTTGCAGGAGCTGAGCGGGAGGATTCCTTGCCCTCAGTGACTGGTCTGCCTTTCCAAGGACTGCTGATGGTATGTGCAGTACCTTACATTGTGCTATATTGGGGTTCCTAGGGGAGTATTGTGACTGACGGTGGCTCTGTGGTTTAGGTGGGCTGCGACACGCCACTGCCAGCATCAGCGGCCGAGAGGTGTACAGGCACCTGAAGTACGAGGGAGGGGTGCACCGGGTCCAGCGGGTCCCCAAGACCGAGCGACAAGGGAGACTGCACACCAGCACCATGACCGTGGCCTTGTTACCCCAGCCAAGCGAGGTCAGTGCCATCTCTGGCCTCTGTTACTCATAATATGTGCGGCACGTGTGTTTGTGTTGGTATGCTCGAGAGTGTTTATGTGGGAATTCCTCCGTGTGTGCAATTTAGGCTTAGACGCTGTCACTATACTTCACAGTAAAATCCTGTGAAGTGCTTGAGTTGCCTTGACGATATAAAAAGCTCCTATATCAAATGCAAGAGTTATTATTTTGGCCAAATATTCTCTTTTTGTGCTGTAAACCTGTGATTCTCTTGTCTGCTGTTCAGCACAGTCACTGTCGCCTTTGCCCGCCCTCAGATTCACCTCACGATTAACCCCAAGGATTTGCGAATAGAAACCAAGCGAGCGAGTGGGGCCGGGGGGCAGCACGTCAACACCACCGACAGCGCTGTGCGCATCCTGCACATCCCAACAGGTACAGGAGCGTGTGTGTGTGTGTTGTGGGGGTGGGAGGACATTGTGGTCCATCATTTAAAAAAAACCTACAGTATTCTATCTCTCATTTCCCTCCTCCGCTGACATAAAAAAATCTGTGCATTCGGTACAGTAAAACTCACATAAGTTGTATCAGTCGGACTCATGTTATTTAATGCGACTTGCCTGAAGTCTGAGATGCATCCAAACTGTATAAATCATATCAAATCCGACTTAATTAATAATCTACTCCGTGAATGCGTAATTCAAGGTAGCACGTGGTAACGGATTACGACTACATTTCCCATGTTTCAATGTGTCTAGACCCGTTGCCACATGCGCACGTACCAGCAAGAGTTGGAATTGCAGGAAATGAAGTTCTTTTGCCCATGCACTGATGGGTCAGGACATTATATCCCGCGATTCAATGCAGCCAGTAAATGCGGAAGTAATGGAGGGTAGAGGAGCAAGGATTATGATTATTATACAAATGTTATTTGCTGTTGTGTCAGGTTTCGTGGCTGAATGCCAACAGGAGAGGTCGCAGCTGAAGAACAAGAGCAAAGCCATGCAGCTGCTGAGGGCTAAGCTGTACAGCGCCAGGCTGGAGGAGGAGACCACCAAACGTTCCTACGCTCGCAAGATTCAGGTGAGGGAATAAAATAAACCATACACTGCATTCGATATCGAATAATCTTTGCAGGATTTGATGTACAGCGCCTTTCACGTAAGAAAACATTTCAAAGTGGTTTATAAAGTGAGAGGGAATCCGATTAGAGGCTAAATCTGAGACCGAACCAACATTTAGAAGATAATTACATACTTGATGCTGAACAATGTAGAAAACCGCATGGAAATTATAATAGTAGATAACGAAAGTGGGGGAGTGAGACCAGTACAGACACGATGAGGAAAGAGCAGGGAATGGGGATTAGAGTAGAGAGCTCCAGTGGGGGAGCGAGCACCAGCACAGGCACATGGTGCTCCTGTGCTGTAGTTTCTGTGGTTCTGTGACTCCAGTTTGTAGTGACTGCCCTGTTGCTATCTTACCAGATTGGGACAAAGGGGCGGGCGGAGAAGATCCGAACGTACAACTTCCCGCAGGACAGGATCACGGATCACCGGATTGGGAAGTCGCTACACGACATGCGGAGCTTCCTGCTGGGGGAGGGGAGTCTGGACGAGATGATCCAGGATCTGATGGAGTTTGCAGACACGGAATCCCTTCTTGAACTGCTGGACAATGACACAGACTCAAAGCAGGAAGCCCTCAGAGACCCACTCCGACGGTAGTGATTTGGGGCCCTGGGTCTAAATGTCTTCTTGTCATCAGAAAAGAGACTCACATTAAAAGCTAAAGCTATTGGAGCAAACCGGTGAATGGACACATCACAACGACAACTTACATTTTTATATCGGTTTTGTTTGGTTAGCCAGGTAGGTTTCTCTGTGATACGCGGACACCGACAAGTTAAGCCAGGGTTAAATTATTAGGAGTTTACTGTAGTAATGTACAGTGGCTGGTTTGCCAAGACACAACTTGGGAGTCAAATAACTGTTTACATGGGAGATGGCACCACAGAGCGAACAGCTATTCACTAGCTTCCTTGGTTACTCAGATTGGGAAAATGACTTCTCAGCGGGAAACAAGTCACCGAGCTCCGAAATACAGTCTCCCTCCTCTTCCACAATGCTCCCAGCAGCACATTCCATATCCTGACTACTCTGTGTTTGAAATGGATTGTGTTGCCCAGAGCAGTTGTTGAGGCAGAGTCCATATTGTCTTTCAAAGGGAACTAGATAAATACCTTTTAAAAAGCGGCAGCTACAGGGGAACGGGGAAAGGGCAGGAAAATGGGATTGAAAGGATTGCCCTTGAGGAAGCGGTACAGACACGATGGGCTGAATAGCCGCCTTCTGAGCTGTAAATTTCTATGGTTCTAGGTAATACAAAGTAGATATTGCTATCCATGAATGCCAAAGCCCCAACGGGTAAGGTGGTCCTAACTGGACAAGCAACAGGAAGCTAAGCGCTCTTAGTTGGTCAGGCTCCAGCTATATCACATTGTACACTCTGGGGTCCCCAAACCTTGGGCTCTTGCCAACCTCGATCTAACTCTTCTAAGATTAGGTGAGCAGGACGTGTCACATCGTGGAGAGATTGCGTGCTGCATATTACACAAACATAAAGCATGCTTCAGAGTTTGGATACATTTAAGCAAAGTAGTCCAGTGCCTCTTTTCGTGGCTAATGACCATAGTTGGGACGAGTGATGGTTGGTTTCTGTCTGGTTATTGGAGGCTCCTTTGCCACAAGCCATCCCAAACCATCACCTTAGTGAACAAAGAGATTTGAGCCGACAAAATCCTACCTGAAGATGGGCAAAAGGCACAACAACAACTTGCATTTGTATAGTGACTGTGTTTTATAGGTGAATGCAGCAGTTTGCGCACAGCGACGACTAACAAACAGCTGTGAAGTGAATGACTGATTTCGAGCGATTGTTTGGGGAAAATGCAAGGATTATTATTATTTGAGTGCATGGGATAAGGCAGGGCGATTGAATGAACATATCGCTCTGAGATAAATAATAAAAAAGAGTCAACTACAGGTGATGGGGAAAAGGCAGATAAATGGGACTGAAATGATTGCACTTAAAGGAGCCAACATGATAATGATAATGATAATAATAATAATAATCCTTGCAATTGATTTAGCGCTTTTCACGCCTTCTCGACATCTCAAAGCGCTTCACAGGAACAGACTGCAAAGTGAATTGACTGCGTGCTTGTGGGAGAAATGAAGCGAGTGATCAATATTTGGGGGGTTGTTGGCCCGGACGTAGGGAGAAAGAGGGAAACCCCCTTCGCTTTTCGAACAGCACCCGACGAATAATCCTTCATGAAAACAAAAAAAAATGCGGAACGAAGGAGGATAATAATCCTCGCGTTCGACGCAGCGCCTTGTCGCGTGCTCGAGACGCCTCGAGGCGCGTCGCGGGATACGCCGTCAAGCGCGGAGTGACCATAAGTGGTGGAGTTGTGGAGTCCTGTAGCTCAGTGGTTAGAGCACTCGCTTTGCAAGTGAGAGACCTGAGTTCAATTCCAGGCAGAGGGCGAAACCTTGGGCAAGTTTCCTTACTCCACACAGAGCCTAATAATAATCCCTCCAAAACCAAAAACAATAATAAATTGGTCATTTTCAATCTACGACTGTTTGTGGGACATTGCTGTGCGCAATTGGCTGCCGCGTTCGCCCACAAATATACAGTCAATTCACTTTACAGTGTGTTCTGTGAAGCGCTTCGGGACGTCCTCCCGACGTGAAAAGCGCTATATCAAATGCAAGGATTATTATTATTATTATTATTATTATTATTATTATAACCATAAGAATGCTTTATTGTACGTTTTGTGGGTGAAAAGACAACAGTGCGTGAATGTCGGGGTTCGAATTTGGCGCCGGGAGGGGAAAGGCGGTCGGGGATTGGTCGGGCCCGCCGCGCGCTGATTGGATGAGCCGGGCGGGGGTGGGAGGTACCGGGTGAGCTGATTGGCTGAGCGGCCGGAGGGCGGCAGCCAATCAGGAGATTTGGATACGAAATTCAAACGCTTGAGTTGGAGCGCAATCAGTTTCTTGTGGAGAGAGAGAGAGAGACACACAGACGCAGTGCACACACTGCAGAGCACAGGCAGATTGGTAAATAGTTTTTTTTTGTGCATTTTTTTTAAAGTACTTACTCTTTGGGGTGGGGTTCATGGCGGGAGAATGCAAAATATGTTCGAAGGGATAGAGAATATTTACATTGTTAGAAAAGGAATTTATATATATATATATGTGTATATATTTATATTTATTTGCTTTTTTTTTTAACTTTTTGAGTGTTTCTACACCATCGCTCGACTTTTTTCTTTTTTTTTTCTCTCTCTCCTCCCCTTCTTCTCCTCCTTCTCCTCCTCCTTCTCCGACCTCTCTATTTGCTCGGATCAGATTGTTAAAAGGAGGGAAAGAGGGAAAGGAAAAGGTGGGGGGGGGGAGGGGAGGGGGGGAAATGTGATGCTAAAAGAAGTGGAGGGAGAAGGGGATGGGGAGGGGGGGGGGAAGAAAAAAGGGGAACGGGTGAAACAACGAGACGATAAAATCAAAAAGCGCCTTAAAAAGTAAGAGGAGAGAAGAGGAGATTTATACTTTTTGTTGTGGGATCCGAAGAAAGATGCACTTAAGAGAACTCCCAAAAGATTTGCTGCAAAGTGACTGTGAAGGGGGGAAAGGTATTACAAGGGTTTGGAGGGGATCTGACCCCCTTTAGCCCCAGATCCCCTTTTCCCCCCTCCTGGAGGGAGCAACACTAATGTCCCCAAAAGAAGCGCCTAATTCAGAGCCTCACTTCCTGCTTCTTCATTTCGTTGCAAAAATGGAAACTGTTTCCCTCTCGATTGTTGCCTTTTGCAAACGAATCACACCCCCCCCCAACCCCCAACCCCCCCCCACCCCATCATCATGATATCTCTGTCTTGCCCAGAAAGTAACAGGGTTTAAAAAAGAATATATAGTAAATTATTTGCTGCTTCTGCCTGAAACACCCATCTGGTTCATGTCTTAAACTCAGGAAATGCAGATGTTTCTCAAAGGTCCACCAACAAATGTTCATTTATACTTTTGAGCTGTGCTTTTTTTTTTTGTAAACGTTGCTTAGATGGATTTTGTTATCTCGTGTCTGATGTGCAGTGGAATCGTTTTATTTCTGCCCCAAATTCTACGCAGCCGTAGCCCGTGAGACCATTTTGTCTCATGGCCCACCCACTTCTGTTTGTGGGACGCTTGTCTTCCTCGAGAGAGACACTTTAAGAATAATAGTAATCCTTGCATTTGATACAGCGCCTTATCACGTCTTCGAGGCGTCTCAAAGCGCTTCACCGAATACACCGTAAAGTGAATTGACTATATTTTGTGGGCGAGATGCGGCAGCCAGTTGCACATGGCAGCGTCCCGCAAAGAATTGTGGATTGAGTGACCAATTTTTTTTTAAAAAGGGATTATTACCCCGGAACAGCAATCCGCCGGTCGATTAACCGGGTTCCTACGTATTGCTAAACAGAGGCATGTGGAGTGAGCAAACTTGCCCAACGTTTCGTCCTGCCTTTAAAATATATCCTGTGAAGTGCTTTGAGACGTCTCAGTGAAGTGATAAGGCGCTATATCAAAAGCGAGGATTATTAGTATAATTTTCTGCGTTTGTAGCACCTCCCAAGTATCATAGGAACAGGAGTAGGCCATTCAGCCCCTCGAGCCTGTTCTGCCATTCTATTAGTTAGATCGTGGCTGAACTGTACCTCATCTCCAGTTATCCGTCTTTGCCCCATATCCTTTGATGCTCTGACCAAACAAAAGTCTATCCACTTGGAAATTTGAATGGATCCAGCATCCACCGCCTTTTGGGGGAGAAATTTCCAGATTTCCACTATCCTTTGCGCGGAAAAAAATTATCACCGGAACGTTTCACATGGTGAAGTGTGATAACTGTATTTTTTGGAGGTGAATATTTACAGTTCAATTTGCCCCATTGGGGTCTCCCAAAGAGTTATGGAGTGAATGACTAAATTATCTGCGTTCAGTTTGGGGCACATTCTCCAGAATGATACCAGGGGCTTAAAAAGGTTAAATTATGGGGTCAGGGTTGCATAAACTTGTCTTGCGTTTCCTTGATCCCGTTGAGGTGTTGGATAAATTTTTGTTGAGGCAGATTATCAGGGGATATGGGGCAAGTTTGGATAAATGGAATTGAGGTGCAGATCAGCCATGATCTAATAGAATGACGGGACTGGCTCGAGTGGCTGCATGGCCTATTCCTGTCCTATGTCTCTACCTGGGGGGGATTGGTGGGCCAGGACACGAAGACTTTTCTTTTCCAACAGTGGATCCTTAGTTTAAAAAAAATTTGGTCACTCAACCCACGACTGTTTGTGGTACACTGCTGTATGGGATTGGCTGCCGCGCTTTGTCCACAAAATGTGCAGTCTGTTCACTTTGCAATATGTTCTGTGAAACGCTTTGAGGCGTTTCAATGACGTGATGAAACCCTGTATAAAAATGCAAAGATTATTACTATTATTATTATTGCTCGTTCAACGGCAGCAAAACTGCATGTACGTGGCGTGTTTCGCCTCAGCAGGAAGTCCCAAGGCGCTGGACGATGAGGGGTTTGCATCTGAGCTGGGGGTTAGAGTCAGAGAGGGGTGGAGGAGGGAAGATGAACGGGGATTTGAGGGTGCGGGATAAGTCGAAGAGGAACGTCTCGAGACGGGCCTTGAAGGAGGAAAGAGAGGTGGAGAGGTTCCAGGATGGAGGTCCAGATGGTGGGAGCAGAGAGGCCGAAGGCCCGACCGCCAATGGTGGGGCGCACAGGGCCGGGGAAGTGGAGCAGACCAGTGTCCACCGAGGGGAGGGAGCGGACAGGTTTAAGTGAAGTGGTTCTAGGTCCGTCTCAAAACCAACCTACCTGACTGCGCTTTCAGGTCGTCGATCCCTTCCCCACCTCCCTCATTGTCAAACGCTCTGAGACATAATAACAATAAGCCTTGCGTTTGGTATAGCAACTTATCACGTTTGTTGAGATGTCCACTTACCGTGAAAGGCTATGCGTCAATGTCACCCGTATTTCAATCTCTCTGTATCTCTCTGTAATTCCAGTGTCTGAGACGATTTACCGCGCGGTTGTGAGTATGAGGTACGGGTATCGAGGCAGGCAGCAGGAGACATGTCGGCGTGGTGGGGCCTGTCCTGTTGAGAAGCTGCCCGTTGCGTGCAGAGTGAAGAGCGAGGCCGGTCCTTGTCCTTTGCCCGCCCAGCGATCGCCCACATCTCCGCCCGGCAGCGAGGACCTCCTGCTGACAGCCCCGGTGCGGAGTGTCGGCGTCTCTCGCAAGCTTTCTCCCTCCCCCCTCCCCAGCAGTGAGGACACCTACACTGAGGACAGCGGCTATTCCTCTCAGCTTCTCTTGCATTCCTTCTGCTCTGCGGATGAAGACTCCACTGGGGAAGATCCTGGGGTTAAGAGCTCCCCTGATAGACAATCTCACAATCGGGAGCCGAGTGGTGAATGGTTTCCCGCTGATCGTGAACTGCAGAGGGTGAGGGGATGGGATTCCGGTGTTGTCCCACCCCCCGAGAAAGACTCCGAGTCTGTCGGCCGGCACTTGCTCCCAGCGCTGGAGGTCGGCCGGGCTGTGTGCAGGAGTGTCACCAGCTCGAGGGGGAAGCTAGGCGTTGATCAGACCTTGCTCGGACACAGATTGCTGGCACAGAACCTGAGCGTGGAGAACCTCATCGGCAGAAAAATGGGTCTGGATCAGGTGGACATCCTCCGGGAACTCTCCCTCAGGGACCTCAAACACGTGCTGTGGAAGGTCCTGAGGTTTCTGACTGAAGATGACGTGCTCAAGTAAGTGAACTACAACACATTCCATTTATATAGCGCCTTTCATGTCAGGGGGGCTATCCCAAGGCAGAGTTTTGTAGCGTAGTGGTTAGACCGCTCGCTTCACAAGCAAGAGGACCCGGGTTCAATTCCTGGGCCGGGCAAGACCTTAGGCAAGTTTCCTTACTCCATGTTCATCTAGCAGTAAGTAGAAACCCGGTTGTTAGTCGATTGACAGATCGCTTTCCGGGGGTAATAATCATTTCAAAAATAATAATAATAATTGGGTCACTCAATCCACGACTGTTAGTGGGGCACTGCTATGCACACTGGCTGCCGCGTTCCTCCCACAAGATACATAGTCCGTGAAGCGCTTTGAGACGTCTCAATGGCGCTACATCAAATGCAAGGATTATTATGTCCTCTCTCTTTGTCTCATACCCTCACTCTCTCTAACGCTTTACTCTTTGTTTGTCCCGTCAGCTGCAGTAAGGTCAGCAGGTTGTGGAAGCGGGTTGTCGTGGAGGCCAAAAAAGCCGGGCAGATCACCATCAAGTCTTCTCGACGAAGAAAGGTGATTCTTCACTCTGTGAGCTGTTAGATAAAAGCTTAAGTCGGGGCCGATTTCACCCCTCTCCTCCCCATCCCTGGCTTAAGTAATGAGACATAAGAACAGGAGTAGACGATTCAGCCTCTCAAGCCTTAATACACCATTGTGTTAAATCAGAGGAGGTCAACCTTTACGGCCAAAAAAATATATTCGATTGATTGAATATTTCTTGATTAATCATTTACCTGCCTGTTCAGGTGGATGTTAAAGATCCCGTTACACTATTCGAAAACAGTGGACTCCCGGTGCCCTGGCCACCAATCCCCCAAATAAAATTGATCGCTCAATCCACGACTGTCTGTGTGCAAACTGGCTACTGGTTTCGCCCACAAAATTCACTTTACGGTGTATTCTGTGAAGCGCTTTGAGATGCCTCGACGTTAAGCGAGACGTGATCAGGCGCTGACTCAAACTGAAGGATTGTAATAATTCCCGACTCCTGTGTTAACGACCAGCCTTTGTGTCCCTCGTCGCCAGGGTTCCGGTGCTGATCATCCCTGTGATGTGGGCTCGCGGCGGAGCTGGACTCGGCGGGGAACGCTGCTCACGGTACAGCCGGCGGTTGGGGTTGCCGGTGAGAAGGCCATGTCCTTCCACAGGTGCCCGGCCCGGCTCTCTGAGACCCCAGTTCCTTCCCGGCGGAGCGAGCGGTGTCAGGAGGTAAGTCGTTTCGGGGTTTGCAACAACTTGCTTTTAGATAGCGCTCCTCAACCGGGGTATAGCGACCCAGGGTGTGTGATGTCTCGTCCTGGGACAAGGTTGCAAGATCTCACCTGGTGTTCTGAGCCCTGCAGGAGGTTTGATCAGAGGGCTGATTGGAATCACATAGTCTTAAGATGACGCTCCAATACTGTGCTGCTGGGCCGGGGGTTGATATTGCATTGTCCAAGGACGTCCTCAACTGAAGGAGACTGTTACGGATCCCGTGGCCCAATCGGAAAAGGGAAGAGTTTCTCTCTCCCGGTGTCCTGGCCAACAATCCCCCAGATATATTTAAAAAAAGGAAGCGGTCGCTCAACCCACGACTGTTTGTGGGGCGCTGCTCTGCGCAATTGGCTGCCGCGTTTCGTCCGCGGTCGGTTCAGCTTCGCGGTATGTTCCGTGGAGCGCCTTGAGCCGCCTCGACGGCGCGCTGAGGCGCTGTACAAAGCGGAAGGATTATTATTGTTGCGCGGAGGCGTGCGTTGAAGCGGCAGAGCTGCGGTCTGCGTGAGGCGCTGTGGGGAAAGCTCTGAGGGCTAACGTTGCTGGTCTGTGCCTCTCGGCAGGTGGTGCGGACACTGAGGTGGGACGAGGCGGTGAGGATGTGCCCCCAGTGTGGCCTGGCCGCCAGGTACCTCCCTCACCAGCAGAGAGCGACGTGCAGCAGCAAGACCTGTGGCTTCGACTTCTGCCAGAGATGCTTCGGCCAATTCCATGGCTCCGGTGACTGTTCGTTCCGACCCCTGGGTTCCGGCGCCCGGCTCCAGCCTCTCCCCGGCTCCAGGGGCAGCAAACACAACCTGCGGCGTCTGTGACAGGCAGCGGACACACACGCGCGCGCACACCGTCTGTGACAGGCAGCTCAGGCAGAGATAGGGGGAGAGTGACAGTGTGCGTGTGAGAGAGAGAGAGAGGGTGTGGGTAAGAGAGAGAGGGATGGTGACTGTGTGTATGTAAGCGAGAGTGACGGAGTGTTAGAGAGCGCGAGTGTGTGGGTGTGAGAGAGAGAGTGACAGCGAGTGAGTAAGGGAGGTGGCGTGAGTGTGTGAGAGATAAGAGATCAACCAATCTCGCACCGAGTGAGAGCGAGCGACGAATCTGAGTGAGAGGGAGAACGACAGAGTGCGAGAGTGATATAGAGCGAGAGAGTGTGACACGTGTCTCACAGATCGAGAGTGACATGGAGTGCGAGATAGCGAGCGATGGCACATTGTCTACCAAAGTGAGTGAGGGCGAGTGACTGGTGTCTTACATAGAGACACGGGGAGGGGGCGGGAAAGGGAGAAGATTTTATATTATATATGACATTGTTAACCGAACCGATGGGTATTACATGATCAAGATTTTATACTTGAAAGTAGGAGAAAAAAATTTGCTGATTGTTTTAATATTTCCTTCCTGTGAATTGTGTACGGCACATTTGTCAAATAATAACTATTGTATTCTATATATATATATATATTTTTTAAAGATTTCAAATGAATTTCATATGCAGGAGGGGAGGATGGAGTTGATGGACGAGAGAGTGATAGTGGGAAGGAGGAGAAAGAGAATATCTTCCATTTTAGAGTCTTATCAGTTGTGTCCAATGGCTGAGACTCTTGTGGGGTTGGTGATAGGAACCCATCGTTTTTTTTTAAGTGGGGACAGAAACCCATCGCTGCTTAAGAGTATCCAAATCACTACGAGTTCCCCGCCGGGCTCAGGAAACGGACGAGAGACGACTGCAGTATTCTGGGGTACTGCTGACGACAGCAGAGCCAACCTGACTCATCAGCGGGACTTGGAAGGGCAGACTAGTCATTGGGGGCAGGGAATCCTCCCACTCAGCTCCTGTTAACCCTGAAAGCCAAAGCCCTGACTGGTAGGGTTGTCTCAGCTGGACAAGCAGCAGGAAAGCTTGCCAGACAGCAATCTCAATACCAAGCTACGTGGATTTAGCTGGTTAGGTTACAGCAGTTACCCCAACGCACCATCTGAGGTCTCGAAACCTGGGCCCCATTCAGAATTAGATAAACAGGATGTGTCCCTCCAGGGAAAGAGAGCGCGTTCCATTCCAATAGTCTATCTGGGATTTCCATGTGTAGGTGGGAAGCGTGGAATTCTCAGTTTGGTTTGGATGCTGTTGACCATGGCGATGGGTTTCACTTTTGTCCTCCCAAACCACCCCACCTTTGTGAATATGACAGTTGACGGACCTCTCTCTTCCGCCCCCGCGCCCCGCACTGCTTTTGTTATTTTACAGTAGTTATATTCAGGGGCTGTGTAAGCGATGAATCTTTCCATATTGGAAAGTTTCATTCTTGTGATGACCCCTGACGTCTGTCTCCAGTTTTATCCTTGTCTTTCTATACATGTTTGTATGTAATTGTGAGTGTTTTTTCTGCCATTCAATAAACTAGTTAAAAATTACAACAGGCGTCCTTAACCTTTCGTGTGTCAGCCTGGCTCAGTTGGTAGCACTCTCGCCTCCGAGTCAGTTTGTGGGTTCAAACTCCCAACCCAGTTTGCGGGTTCTAACATTGGGTGTTAGAACTCATAGTCTAAGCCGACGCTCCAGTGCAGTGCTGGGGAGTTGCATTGTCAGATGTGGGCCTTCACGTGAGGTTTGAAACCGAGGTCCCACCTGCCTGTTCAGGTGGAAGATCCCGTGGCACGATTCAAAAACAGAAGGGAGTTTCTCTGCTGGAATCCGAGCTGACAATCCCCCAAATAATAAGATGTGAAATGCTGTAGATGGTGGATATCAAACAAAAACAGATCGCTGGGAACACTCAGCGGGTCAGTCAGCATCTACGGAGGGAGGAAAGTTGGTCAACATTTTGGGTCCACGACCCATCAGAACGGTGAGTTCCCCAAATAATATTGCTCGCTCACATCTTGGCTGTTTGTGCGACATTGTTGGGCATAACTGAGCTGCCATGTTCGTCTACAAAACACAGTCACTACACTTTAAGGTAAATCCCATGAAGCACTTTCGGAGGTCCTGACGGTGAAAGATGTGATACCGAATGTAAGAATTAGTTTTATTTATTGACCCCTCAATGGGAGTGACTGTCAGACTCAATATCAGAGACATACACAGACACTGACCGAGAAACCACAGTATAAGCAGAGACAGAATCAGTGACAGATATTTAATGAACTGTGGGGACAACTTGTATTGCAATACTATGTTCTTCCACAAGAGGACACTGCACACTGACTATTCTCATGGGTGGGCCGTTTGGGAAGAGAGGAGGAATCTTGGGTCACTTTGGTCCTGAGATAGCTCTAAGGTGATGAGCTTCCAAGCTGACTGAGAATATGGTCAAAAAGGTACATTTTGAGGTGTACCTTGAACAAGGGGAGGAAGGGAGCAAGTCGGAGGGATTCTGGGATGGAGTTCCAGAGAGCGGGGGCAACATTTGTTTTTTGGTCAGCCTGGTGTCCGACATACGTGAAATCTCTTCTCCGTGCTTAAGAGCGTCCAAACCAGACCGAGAATTCCATACTGCCCACCTACACGTGGAAATTCACGCGTCTGGAATGGAGTGCGTACTCTCCCTGGAGGGGTGTATCCTGCTTACCCAGTTCCGGAAAGTATTAGGCACAGGTTGGCAAGATCCAAGGATGAGGACCCCAGAGTATGTGTTAGGGTATTGCTGGAGTCTAACCAGCTACAACCCCATAGCTTGCCATTGATATCGCATTGACATTGGGGGCGGAATAGCTGAAACAACAACAACAACAACAACAAGATTCCATTTATAGAGCGCCTTTCACGTCGGGAGGACGTCCCAAGGCGCTGCACAGTTGGGTCAGGACCCGAGCAGGGGGGAAATGGTCAGGGTGAGGGAGGGAAGGAAGGGAGCGAGGAGGGGGGAAATGGTCAGGGTGAGGGGAGGGAAGGGAGGAGCGAGGAGGGGGGAAATGGTCAGGGTGAGGGGAGGGAAGGGAGGGAGTGAGGAGGGGGGAAATGGTCAGGGTGAGGGGAGGGAAGGGAGGAGCGAGGAGGGGGGAAATGGTCAGGGTGAGGGAGGGAAGGGAGGGAGCGAGGAGGGGGGAAATGGTCAGGGTGAGGGGAGGGAAGGGAGGGAGCGAGGAGGGGGAAGAGAGTCGAGAGGGGAGCTGAAGGCTCGGTCAAAGAGAAAGGTTTTGAGACCGGCCTTGAAGGAGGAGAGGGAGGAAGCGGCGAAGGCACTGGGGGATGGAGTTCCAGAGCCTCGGGGCTGAGAGACTGAAGGCCCGACCACCGATGGTAGGGCGGTTGGGGCGGGGGACGTGGAGCAGACCGGAGCCAGAGGAACGGAGGGTACGGGCAGGTAGGTAGGGGGATAGTAGGTCAGAGAGGTAGGAGGGAGCGAGGCCGTGAATGGCCTTGTAGGTGAGGATGAGGATCTTGAAATCAATCCTCTGGGGGATGGGGAGCCAGTGGAGGCGAGCGAGGGTGAGGGCGAGGGTGAGGGCGAGGGCGAGGGTGAGGGTGAGGGCGAGGGCGAGGGTGAGGGTGAGGGTGGGAGTGATGTGGTCGCGGTGTCTGGTGCGGGACAGTACACGAGCTGCAGAGTTCTGAATGACCTGCAGTGTGGAGGGAGGTGGCGGGAAGGCCGGCGAGGAGAGAGTTCCCATAGTCCAGCCTTGAGGTGATAAAGGCGTGAACCAGGGTTTCAGCAGCGTGAGGGGAGAGGTAGTGCCGTAGTCTGGCGATGTTCCGGAGGTGATGGAAGGCGGTGCCAGTTGTGGTGCGGATGTGAGGGAGAAAGGACAGCTCAGGGTCGAACAGAACCCCGAGGTTCCTGACTGGCTTTGAGAGGTGGAGAGTGCAGCCTTGGATGCTGATGGTGTCGGCGCCTGAGGTGCGGAGGCGCTGACGTGAGCCAATCAGGAGGGCCTCGGTTTTTCGCACGTTGAGCTGAAGAAACTTGTCTCTCGTCCAAGACTCGATGTCGGACAGACAGCTGTCAGGACATCGGGGGTCGTGGAGTTGAGAGTAGAGGAGGAAAGGGAGAGTTGGGTGTCATCCGCATACATGTGGAAGTTAACCCCATGTCTGCGGATGATGTCACCAAGGGGGAGCATATAGAGGTGGAAGAGGAGGGGACCGAGGACAGAGCCCTGAGGGACACCACATGAGACAGTGCGGGGGGTGGAGAAGAAGCCATTCGTCGAGACAAAGTGAAGACGGTGAGAAAGGTACGACCTAAACCATTCAAGGACAGTGCCTTGAAGGTTGAGGTGGGAGGACAAGCGGTGGAGGAGGATAGCGTGGTCGACCGTATCGAATGCTGCCGATAGGTCGAGGAGGCAGAGGGAGCCCTGGTCACAGATGGTCAGGATATCATTGGTGACCTTGACCAGGGCAGTTTCTGTGCTATGGGCAGCACGGAAACCTGACTGAAGGGGAAATCCAGCATCTCCTCGCAGTGAAGGTTGGAGGAGATGACCTGCGCAGGGTGGCGGGGGGACGGAGGAGTCGGGTTGTGGTGGAAAACAGTAGCCTGGGGTTGTTCTTCGCCTCCAGGATTATCCTGGAGTAGAAGGACGACTTGGCCGAGGCTAGAGTGGAGCGGTAAATTTTGAGGAGGTCCAGCCAGATTTGTCGGTGGACCGTTAGGCCAGATTTGACACAGGTGCGTTCAGCGGCCCGCACCTGGCTTTTCAGTGAGCGGAGGTGGGTGGTGTACCAGGGGGAGGAGCGGGAGTAGGAGACAGTGCGGGAAGTGATGGGGGCAAGAGTATCGAGTGTGGAGGAGAGGGTATTGTGGAGGAGGGAGAGAGGAGAAGAGGGGTCGGTGAGGGTTGAAGGCCAGAGGGAGAGGAGTTCAGAGGACTCCAAGGCATCGGTTAGGGATTGTGGGGGTAACTTCTTCCAAGGGCGGTAGAAGATGGTGGTGGGTCTGGTGGAGGTGGGGAGGGGGGTGGAGGTGGTGAAGGAGATGAAGTGGTGGTCAGAGATGGCCTTGTCGGTAATAGTGACATCCGAGACACTGAGGCCCCGGGTGATCACCAAATCGAGTGGGTGGCCGTGACTGTGAGTGGGGGAGTTTATGTGTAAGGAGAGGTTGAGTGAGGAGAGCAGGGAAGAGAAGTCTGTGGAGATGGAGCAGGAGGGTGTGAAGTGTAGGTTAAAGTCGCCCAGGATGATGAGGCGATCGGAGCAGAGGCAAAGAGATGTGAG